GAATTATTTTAGTTGATGTCGTAAAAATCTTCACATAATTTCTTATTTTCTATAATCCTTATACTCTAACTATACCATTGAAATGATGCCGTAAGCTGACAAAATAGTTTAAAACAAACAATGAATAATTATCAGGAATAAAAACGACTGACTAAATTTGTACCTAAAGTAATTTTTACATTGAATTATAAGTGATTCGAATGTATTTTGAAGTGATTAGATCTACTATTGTTTTGCTCTATTTTAAGTATTTTGTTGTTAATTTTATGTGACAGTCAAAATTCACATTTGACGACCGTTTCAATTTTCTAAGCAATGTTACCACAAATATTTTCAAAGTTAGTTGATTCAAAACAATCCCTAGAATAAATTCACAGTTGTTCACAAAATAAACATCATGATAGGGGATTTTCTTCTACTTCATGTTTATCTTTTTTTAGGTGAGAAATTAATTTAATGAATAGCATAAAATGTCTTGGAAATACTAAACCCTGATCTACAATAAATGTTATGCTAAATTAAATAACTTTTGACTAACGTAGTAGAATCGCATACATCGGAAACGTTTCTTGATTTTCAATGTTATCCTTACAGATAGGCTTAATAAAATACTGAAGTATCAAACACGTAATTCATCAACATTATACTCGTCCTTCTAAACTTTAAGTGTAAAAGTTAGGAAACTTATGACGGTGGAAAATGCTGCTGATTAAGGGGAAGCGAATTATTGATCGGACCAAAGACGCACAAACACGTAGAACGACCTAGGGTTCTGATTGGCCCCGTTTCCCTGTCTAGCTCGGCCAGTTAAGTCCAGAACGCAAGTCACAGCCTCGGATGTATGAATCATTATATTTCAAACACACTCTGTTTATATACTAATCAAGCAGACCACCATCTCCAAGTCCAAGAATAGCGTTAGATTTAATAGAATAATTTTCGGGATATTTTCCTGAATATCCCAACAGAAACTTCACAAACCTTAGTTCTATTTAAACCAGAATGTGAAACTATGGCATTAGTCAACTGTTAACTGTTGTGAAATGAAGTACGAAATTCCCATTTGTCTAGAGGACGTGTATAAGTTGCCCTGATGAACGTAGAACCGTTTATCTCACTGTTTCAGTTTGATCTAAAATAACTTATTATTCAAATACCGTTTATATATTTGTCTTGTTCATTTATATGTTAGTAACAGTACTAGACATTTAAGCTATTGATTACAAGGTCAATATAATAATATTTACTAGCCACCCTTGGGATAGAATTATTTTCCGATCCAGTTTGTAATGATAATATGACATTTAGGCGGTTTAGTCAGCATCAAGATGTCAGCTTTCATGAAAGAAAATCGTAAGGTCTATTGTTGTAACATCATTGCTGATAAATCCACTGTTTTTAAATATCTGAGTTTTATAAACCCATACACTAGACTGAGATTCACCTTGTGGAATTGTCTGATATTCACAATAATGAGTTTTAGTGGCTGAAAGGTACAAAAACTTCATTTCTTAATTGAACTAATTTCAGCGAATACATTATGTATTTGTCTTCCATACTGATTTATCCTTTTAATGTTATCTAAAATTTCAAGTCATAAACAAAGCATAATTTTGAAGTTAGCTAGTCTGTCACATGATTAGCATGTTATGTTGTAGTACTCGTCAAAATTAAAGAACAAAATACATAAATATTGTAAATAACACAAAAAACTTACAAGCAATAGGAAGTGATAGTGTATTTCTATGCTAAACATATGCGAACGTTTGCTAAATCCACAATATGTCTGCCGATATTTGATAGCTACACAAGTTATTGATCATACTTATTAAACTTAATACAAGAAGTATATACCATGTGTATATTACAATATAACTAAGTTTATCCCCAATAAAGATGATACAAGAATTATTATTTTATCTTGTAAAATAAGTCGAATATATTATTTAAATTTAGTCATATTATTTTGAAGGGTATTTCATTCAAATTCTTTTTCACTAAAAAATACACTTTGAAATGAAAACAAACTTTAATCACAAGTTATGGTTCATTGGTTATACTGTGAATCTGTACACTTTATAATATCAGTGTAACATAAATGTGATTTGCTTCAGGTCTTCAAATAAATATAGATAAACAAAAGTTAATTATACGCTTTACTCACTGTTATATATATAGATATAGATATTTCTTAATTGTTGTACTCTTATTGATAAAGAATTTTAAAAAAGTAAGAAAGAAATGGTTGATTAAATAGAAAATAAGACGGTAGTCATTTTTGACAATTCTTCGATTAAAACCAGTACAAATGATTTAAACAACAAATATTCAAAAATAAGTGCACTATATCTAAAATGGATTAAATACTACTCTTCCACTGGATTAAATTACGTTCGTTGTAAGTGAGGATAGCTTCTTATCTAATGTAGTAGAGCACTGTAAATAGTGTGATTATTACATAATATCGCTAAGCTAAATGAAGTAATTCATTATTATTTTGCCCGTAATTAAACACTCGAATGAGAGATTGCATTATCTTTTAAAATAAAGGTAACAAATCCAGTTAATATCCAATATACATTTACTTAATTTTTGTTTGTACCAATTTTAACTTGTGTTGAAAAAACGTAAACTCTGAATCTTCTCTAAGAAATAAATAATCTTTTTTAAAATCTACTATTTGTTCATTCAGTAATAATCCAGGTTGAGGTAAAAAAAATTCTTATTGGATTTCATCTTGGTGTGTTTATCATTAGGATTTCGTCGAACCTTTCGGTTGTCATAAAGAGGATTTTTTTTGTTTTAGAAAAACCAAGAAAATGAGTATATAAACATGCTGTTTTCGTACATATAAATTGTCATTAAAAAGTAAGCGACATGAAAAACCTGACTTGCATCATTTTTACTTGATAAATCCCATTATTGAATATGACCAACCATTGAGATTCATGATTACATTGCTAGCAATTAACAAAACATTGTCATGATGTTTGACTTAGTCTTTTTATGTTCACTAATAAATTATTCCCAAGTTGTCAAAATATAATTCAGTTCCAATGAATATAGCCCTACGGCAAATTTTAAATGATATCATGTGTTGATTATTCCCCACAAAGTTTTCTATCCATCAAAAATTGCATTCATTTTATTACTGATCTGAAATCAAACTGATAAAAGAACAAATTACTATTTTTTCAGGTAGTTCGCCCTACGATTCTGTGTCTTTGTAAACAATAATTCAAACAGTAACGAATATTTATATGGAGTTTGTAACATGAACTCAATATGCCATCAATATAATTTATAAACTAGTGTTTTGCATCAAACATACGTAAAAAAGCTGTTCAATTTGAGTTTTCGTTCTTGAAAAGATTGTAAACTAATAAGAAAGAAAATTTGAACAGACCTAATTTTACTGATTTATAATAAAAAAGAAATTCACTAGTATGCTTTTGTACTGGACAGTTGTTTCGGCCTAGTATAGGACTACTGATCACGGTATATCTAACTCAGGACTTTCGGTCTTACGTGAGAGCTCTCATCTTCTAGATAATTTGGAACAACTTATGTGTTAGGGCTTCCAGCTATTAGTCAATAAGTTCCAAGTTCAAACCTCACTATCCCCTGCCTCGGTTTGTAGAACCATCAAGCATCACTAGCCCTCAGACCTATAATGTATCTCATACTTTGAATGCATGCCTAGTGAGTTGTTCTACTGATTACTCATACTGGTTGAATTCAGTATAACCTACGTTCTCGAATCCATAGATTCCAATAATCAGTACAGGACGTAAAATATATACTTGGTTTCATTCTTGAATGCTTTACTGAACAAATCGATAACTCTGAAATATCGAACCAATGACTTGACTTTTATAGGTAGTATTAATCAATGTAAAGGAATTTTGAATGGACTATGTATAAGCTGAATATTTGTAGACCTATCGACATATGTAGCTTTTGTGTGTTTATTCTTATCTAGTGTTGTACTTATTCACTATTAAGAGCTTTTAGTTTGGAATAAAACAACTGGCTAATACATAATGCTTCAATACAATATTTTAAATGCAATAAACTGTTTGAAATCTAAAAGTCATTGTTATTAGTATTTACAAAGTTTTCAAAGTAAATGATTAATTATATTCAGATTCTTAATTTAATATTTTGATAATTTCTAATTGAAATTAGATTTTCAAACAATCAGTTTTTACTCCGGATTTTTTTATTTAGATCTTTAGATCACATTACTTGGCACTTAGGGAAATGTTTTTACCAAGTATAAATTGTCCTTTTTTTCGAATCACTTTCTAAAAGAGTAAAAAAAATTAAAATTAAATTGTTATTACATAATTTGTTATTTTTATGGAATAGTGATAATTTATATGATATCACTACGGTGGTAAATTTTGTTAGGAATATATTTAATTGTGTGAAACAACTGCATCCATTATTGACCTTTCTTTTAATTTGGAGTAAATTAAAAGTTTGATATATTTCTAAATAGATTTGGTGTTGGGTTACAACACAAGTTTATATTTCACTCATTGATTGACGAGGGAATTCAACTGTAAAGATAATATTTACCTTAAATTGGCATATACTGGGAAAATGTTTGAAAATAGATACCAGAGTAGCGGACAATAGTTTAGACATAGTTTTGGATTTCAGTTGTTTGCTGTCAAAAACATTAAAACGCAACTTAAACTAATAATGTTGACATAGAACATAGAAATAAACCGAAATTATGAAAATATATTTAAATGAAGTGTCTGTTAATGTGTGGCAACGAAGAAATACATTCAGTTGAAAATATAGATATTGTTGACAAAATTATTTACAATCCACGTTTCTTGATAAACACGATGTAACCGATTTCACATTTTAATATTTGTCATTTGTTTAGACATTCAGGAATGACTGCACATTTGGAACACATTGTGTCAAGTAATTTTGCTTCTGTTGACAATGGTTGTTACTTTATACATTTGAAATTTTTTTAGGGAGAATGAATGCATTGTGGCATGACGGTTCTTGGGATCCTTCTTGGGATACATGGTGGCACTACAAAGAAGGCGTAATGGGAGGTATGGATTAATTTTTGTTTTTGTCGATTTTCCATGTTCCACATATAATATTGGGTGAATATTTTAACATTTTTTATAGCATAAACTTTGAAAACTACATGTAGAAAATGGACTGATATATACATAAAACAGAATTTTGCTTTAACATGACAATCAAATCCGTAAAATCAAGAGTGATAATTTAAAATGAAATGAACTTTTATTATCCAATATGATAAGAATAATAAATATGCACCAAACAAATATCATCAATGAATTTATTTGTCAGCATTTAACAATAAAAATGGATTATTCTTACACTTGATTTGAACAATCTAAATTACTATGAAACACCATGTCAGTTTGAGTACAAATATATTGATTCAATTCTCAAAATAAATTTAATACATCGTGTTCTTAATTCTCATTTGTATGAAACATTCATATACGGTAAAATATGACCGCATAATTTACATAACCTTAAGCGTTTACTGTTCTTACTTTAGCAATTAAAAAAACTCACATAGAATATTTAGAAACAGAGAATATTTGAGCAAACAATCGTTTTCATTAACTATATCATCCATTCGTATCAGTTGTTTGAATCCTCTTCATTGATATTTAGGACTGCAGTCGATAAGTTTCTTTTGCGATTGGATTGGTTCAATATTGTCATCAAGAAAGAAGCATTGTTCATTGACATCCCAATTTAAACCTGGCGGCACTTATAGTCCAAATATTATCAAAATTTTAAGTGAAGATTTTAATTTCCATGTTGTCTGTTTAATGCGATGAAAGTGATGGATCATTGCTAATACTCTAAGAATCTATTTCAATATAGTGTTTCTTCTGAAGTTAATTCATTTTAAAATGTTTGAGCCTTATGTTTGATATCTAACATACACGTCAATATTCAGTTACATGCAAATGACTTGAGCTATTTTTCCAATAATGAGATTCTTATCGAAAGATAAATTGAAGTGTACCGACTAATTATTAAACTCCAATAAAAATGCCGTTTTAAAATTATTTTTTCGTCTAATCATCTTTGTTAATTTTAATTGCAACGTTTTCATGAAGAAAAAACAGTGATATGGCATATAAATTTAAAAAATATTTTGGTCCATTTACTACTAGGTCCGAGTCATTGGGGACAGACAGCTTTCATGGCCATTGCCAATGACGTATGGCCAGCTTGTTATCAAGGGAAGATGCAATCTCCAATCAGTATCTCCACGAAACATCTACTATTTGATCCTAATTTAATGCCATTGAAAATCTCAGGTTCAGATAAGCAAGTAAGTGTGAGCCTGATTATTTACACCACAGTGAATTCTTGAATATTTCGTTCTATGTAAAGTGTCAGTTTAATTAGATGAAAATTGAACAACTGAATTTAGTGCTATTTTACGAGACTGAAATAAAAATTGACTTTACTATCCGGTAAAAGTTAAATTTACAAACCGTAATGGGAAATGTGTGTCTAAGCAAATGTTCGACTGTAAATCCTTTCACGATTAGTTTGATATAATATAAAAGCTAGGATAAAGAGCAATAAAGTGTTCAATATACTGACGAATTCTCTAAGTATTTTTAGAGAACGTTTTAAGCATGAACTCCCTAGTTTCTGAAATGTGTTTGTTGGATTTTTCAGTTAACTGATTTTTTATTCATAAACGAAAATAAGAAATCAACCAAGAGTGGAATATTAGCTAAAAATGCAAATCAATTCATGCTGCATGTACATACAAAAAAATTTACTGGTCTTACACTGAGAAAAATCTCTATGAGATCCAGAAATTTGAAAACAAGCATTCCTACTAAAAGTGTTTTAGTGGTCCGTTGATCTGACTCCAATTTAGATCGTACGAATGTTTATTATCACCTATCCTCGTATACAATCATCGACTTAAATCATGTTAGTTAATAACGGAATTTAGATAATTAACGAGAATGGCGTTTGAATACATGTATTTTGTATGTAAAGTGAATGTGATAGAACAAAGCAAAATGACGCGCAGGAGTTACTCAATATTTATAGGCAGACAAAATAAACTACAGGCATGTGATAAGACATGGGATATGAAGTGTACACACATTTACGCTCATATAAAAACAGTCAAGACTGATAAGCGAATAATTGACAAGGTCAAAATATGACTCAAGTAGAATGAATAGATTGGGCTGTCCAAAAGCTAGAATAATATATATTATGGGCTTAAAATAATGACTGACACTACAAGTCAACGAATAGATTAAGCAGTTAATAATGAAGTTAGCAGAATGAATATCTGCGTAGGCGGTGAACCATGTTCGTTCACACATATTTCATGTAAGAACAATAATAATAAAGGTACAACAAGTTGTTATAGTGCGGATGTCTTTGTTCGCTAAATAAGTTAACAAAAGGGCTTAACTGAGTTAAATGAGAATAAACTCAATTGCACGTGAGTTGCTATAGTGTCTTCAGAAGAAGAAAGAATTCAGTTGAAGACTACGAATTCTGAACGTTGTATAAGTTGCAGTAACTGCATGAGTCTTCATTCGCATTATACACATCTAAAAAACATCGCTGCTTGTATAAGTTGTTTATTTCTAAAGTATGTACTTCAGAACATTTTATGTTGTAAACTGAAGATCTAACCGAATTTTCCTTTTATTCAAACCTAAGTTGGTTTAATTCAATCAGTAGTAGAGCCGAGTAAATGATGAAAAGTTACATCTCGATTTATTAACTTTGATGTACATTTTTTTAGATTGATGTGGAGGTAGTGAATACAGGACAAGATTTACAGGTGAAAATCCTCGATTCAATAGCATCAATTGTATTCAGTGAAGGACCATTAGTATATAACTACAAATTCTTTGGAGCTTTAATCAAATTTGGCTCAAGATCAGATCGTGGTTCAGATCACCAAATTGATGGTATTGCTTTTCCCGCTGAGGTATCTGTCTACTGAAGAATTAAAAAAATATTTTGTATTAGATCTCATATTTATCTTTTAAAATGGTTAGTAGTTCTATACATCACTTTATAGATAAATAGCTGGTAATAACAAAATAGATTGTATTATGTCAAGTCAGTTTGTTTAGACATTATGTTTGCTTAAACCGTCAAAATAAAAATAATATTAGATTATTCAATCACACTGTGTCATTATTCATTCAACAACATAAAATATTGCTTTTGTTATTGGACACATACTCAGTATGAACTTGGTTTAACATCTGATTTTAATCGGCATATTCACTAACTCTTATACCATATGCGAATAGCTTTCTGACTGCTTAGCTAAGACTGTGTTTCATTATATGTAATTCTATGAATTGGTTTATGTTATAACATCTTAAGTAATTTAACGAAAATAGCTAAATTATGTTTATACTGGTATTACGCACTTCTTCTTTTGCATATTTATTTCACAGCTACAACTGTATGCATTCAATTTTATTTTATACCAAAACTTTTCTAACGCACTTTCAAAACCAAATGGCTTAGCTGTATTATCTGTTCTTTTTAAAGTAAGTTTATTTTGTTAGTTCTCTTCCCATTATGCCGATTATTAAAATCAAAGAGATTTACTAGTGGATGTAAACTAAATAATAAAGGTACATAAATTGCCGTCCTAAAAAAGTAGAACTATTTATTATTGTTACATTTATTCAAGAAACAAAAGTTGTGTTAGTTTGAATGCATTTCTGACAACATATATGTATATAAAAATATATATTGTTGCTAATTATGTAAGTAAATACACATTTTATCAAATGTAATCAACATTATCATTGTTTAGTGTTGTTTGTGAATATATTAACATGTAAAGCTAAATAGCAAACTGTATAGTCTGTCAACGAGATAGGAGCGATGGCTCAGTGATTAGGGCTTTTGACCTTCGATTAGCAAATTGCATGATTAAAAAACTCTTCTTATATTTCGGTTACAACAGCCGTATGTTATTAACAGCAGTGATATTTAAAGTGTGGCTCCAATCCAAGTATATGAATGTCTATTCATTAGATGAATTATGGCGAAAATCGACGGAATGAGGAACGTGAGATACGTTTTCTCACTCTACCTGGGGGGATAGACCTAAAATTCAATGCTGTTAGATTACCTTAAAATAATAATATATATTTATAACATAATGATATGGTCAGTAGGACGATAGATTATTTTAATCTATTTAAACAATCTAAATTTGAATACTTACAATTGAAGGACTGACTTGATATCTGGTCATTTTTGATATATAAGTAAGCTGAATACCTATGAAATCTGATTTAAGATTTACGAAATCTCGAGTTTTATTTGTATTGATTATAAATCATCAATAATCAGTATAAAAAAATATATATGGTGCATGCTACTTATGCTGACAGATACAAGTAGTATGTAACACCAAGCAGAAGTGGAATGCCTGCCAGAATAAGATTGAATTGAACAGAACAGGAAAGGAAACAAAGAGTGATTGAAGTAACAACAGAACTAAAAGAATCAAGAAATACTTCAAGAACAACTGAAAGAATATGTGCGGATGATGTACTCAGTCTATGGTTTTCATATTTTACGAAAGCACTCTGTAATCCTTCATCTTACTTACTTACTTACTTACGCCTGTTACTCCCAATGGAGCATAGGCCGCTGACCAGCATTCTCCAACCCACTCTGTCCTGGGCCTTCTTTTCTAGTTCCATCCAATTCTTGTTCATTATTCTCATGTCTATCTCCAGTTCTCGGCGTAATGTGTTCTTTGGTCTTCCTCTTTTCCGTTGACCTTCAGGATTCCATGTGAGGGCTTGTCTTGTGACGCAGTTCGGTGCTTTCCTCAATGTGTGTCCTATCCACTTCCAGCGCTTCTTCCTGATTTCTTCCTCCACTGGGATCTGGTTTGTTCTCTCCCACAGTACGTTGTTGCTAATAGTGTCCGGCCAATGGATCTGAAGTATTTTGCGTAGACAACTGTTAATAAACACCTGTATTTTCTGGATGATGGCTTTTGTAGTTCTCCAGGTTTCTGCCCCATACAGTAGAATTGCCTTGACATTTGTATTGAAAATCCTGACCTTGGTGTTGGTTGACAGTTGCTTTGAGCTCCAGATGTTCTTCAGTTGTAAATATGCTGCTCTTGCTTTGCCGATCCGCGCCTTCACATCTGCATCAGATCCACCCTGTTCATCAATGATGCTGCCCAAATATGTAAAGGTTTTTACATCTTCCAAATCTTCTCTGTCAATTGTGATTGGATTGGTGCATGCTGTGTTGTATCGGAGAATCCTGCTTTTCCCTTTGTGTATGTTGAGACCTATTGCTGCTGAGGCTGCTGCTGCACTGGTCGTCTTCTCCTGCATCTGTTGTTGCGTGTGGGATAGAAGGGCCAGATCGTCTGCGAAGTCTAGATCATCCAACTGCATCTTAGATGTCCATTGTATCCCGCGCTTTCCTTCAGACGTTGACGTCTTCATGATCCAGTCGATCACCAGTAATCCTTCATAAGACAGTAAATTGGTCAACCCCAAATACGTTTTCGTCCACTACATATAATATATTTAGACAAGTGTTCTCAATAAAATGAGCCATATGGTTCACAAATTGCCATAATTTCTTGATGTCAGTTTTCAGAATGACTGGATTAAATTGATTGAATCTCCACAAAAAGCTAGTGAGAAATATATTTCTTAAACAAAGTTGACCAGTACAATAAATATAAATTAACTGTATCTAAATTACTGATTAAATTAGTTTCAACTAATTTATTTCTGTAATCTTTCAGATTGGTGATCAATCGTCAGCTGATTTGGAAGCATTACTATCTACGGCAGAGCAGGTTCAATTGAAAGGTATACTCTAGTCTAACTCTTTTAGCAAGCTGACTGTACTACATTTTGAAACGATAAAAATATATCAAAGTAGACCGCTCTTTGAAATTAAACAAACCGTATGAGTCTATTACCATGTTCCATAATAATGTTTCTTTGCTGATAAAATAGATTATAGACATTAGTGTGCTTAGTTGTAATAAGTATGATAAATACCGTTCCCGGCAAGCTATTGAAATTTGTTTGTACCAGTTACATGCTCGACAAATCGTGACTGACGTCGCATGAATTATGGATTTTTCTAATCATTTCAGATATCTATCAAATGAGATAATACTATTATTTAATATCATTTCATTCAAAGTTAACCTGTCAAACAGAATAAAACAACTTAACATAAACAGACATTGACAACCAACAACCGAATTCGTAAATAATGTGCATTAGCCAGAAAATAAAAATGTCCTCTATAAGCGTGTTACTAAAATTGAATATTCTTACTGAAGAATGAATTGATAATTAGGTAGATTACTTTAGTCAGTTCGCAGAAATTTGTTTATCATTATCTACATACTATTATGAATTTAGATGAAAATTGACAGACAGTATTTACATAAAAGAACGTAACTTTTATTGTGTATTACATGTTATCCTATGTATAACAGATAAGATGTCTAGAAAATAGTTTCAGATTTCTGTATGTTGCCAATATTCGATTATGTAGATATACTCATTGTCTAATTTTTTCATTAACTTTAATTGTATTAACAAACAAATGTTCTTTAAAGGACAATCTAAAAGGCTTCATGGTTTGCTGTTGGATGCTGTTTTACCGTCTACTATGCAATATATTACTTACCAAGGCTCTTTACCATTTCCTGCCTGTTATGAGACTGCAACATGGATTTTGCTTAATCAGCCGATCGTAATTACAGAAACTCAGGTAAGACAACATATATTCACAACTCATAGACCATTCTTAATAACTCCAAATATGAAGCTTTTTGTGTTGAATAAATTATCCTAGCAACTAAGCGTATAACGAAACCATAATTATAAGATTCCTGCAGAGAATAAATATATTTAAATTAAAAGCTAATCTTAGTTAGGCTAACTTCAAGAACGTGGATGCACTAGACGTCTGTCTTATTATAGAAAGAGACTTCTCAGAAGTGTACGTCAACGACCATGGAAACGGAAATCGAACTCAGGACTGCCATCTTGTATGTAATCATATAAGGCATAAGCTTTCATAATAAATATTGGCGAACCTAAATTAAAACAGTTAGCCCTTTGGGAAGATGAAGTTTATCAGAATTATGTGATATATTTACGCAATACATTTCAAACAATCTGATCACACATACTTGTTAAGACATTCTTATATGAAAATTAAAAGGTCAACTAGACAAGTTAAAGATAAGTCGTAACAAACTAAAAAATAATAAATTACAGAAAAACAATGTGATAACGACTCTAAATAATAAATCAGTATTACCAGGGTAGGTTAAGTGTAAGGACAAATTATTTTGAACGCATAAAGAGGGTTTCGGTTTCCGTATAACCAGCGCTTCAATAAACCTTAGTATACGTCCTTGAATTCTTTTGTACAATACTACAAATTCTGACTTGATATCAATGTTATGATCAGTCTTCATCACATGTTTCGCAATTGGGGAAGATGTCTGTCTATCCTTTGATCTTATTTGACCATCGTAATTCATCTGTTTCTGCAGCCATTTTGGTATGTGTTCACCCACACTTAATTTCAGATCACGATTGTTCCTCCCTACGTACGTGTTTAATAGACACAATGGGATGTGACACAATCACTTACATGCTGTTTGGGTTTTCAGTGAGATGTAATTCTTGTCTTTTCAATAATGACAAGTTGGGATGCATAAAATGTCTGAATGATGGCTAGTTATGGCTAAATTACGGAAATAAGCAACAACCGTTGACTAACTAATTATTGATAAGAAAATACTAGTTTCTTGCACTGCCTCCTAAAATATCAGCATCACATGCTACGGTTGAACGATAGCATAACTAGTCTCCTTACCAACTGGCTGAATTATAATGGTGTTATAGACAATACTAATAATTATAAATACCTATGTTTTTCCTTCCCAATAATCACTTCCCCTGCTTCTTTCGTTTTCTGGTTTGTAACTGTGGGATTCTACACTTTCGAATGCCGTTAGTTGTATATAGTATCCTGTCGTAACCAAGTGGAGGATGTAAAATTGGCAATAAAACCTAGCCTTGTCTGACATTAAAATTCATTTGGAATGAGTCTGTGAACTGCTTCCCATGCACGGCTTCACAGTGCAGAACTTTGTAAGAATTTCGACTAAGGCTGCCGATCTTCTGAATTATACCACAGTGTTGGAGGTGGTTCCATAGGATTCTCTTATCATTACAACCAAATGCTTTCTCATAGTCAAGGAAGTTAATGTATAGTGACGTGTTCCATTCAATTGATTGTTCAACGATGATCCGTAGTTTAGCTATTTGGTCCATGCACATTCGATCCTTGTTGATCGCGAAGCTGTGTGTCTACAGAATATTTCATCCAGTTCAGAAACACTCTATTAAAACCTTTTCCTGATACCGACAGAAATGTGATGCCTTTTTAGTTCTTGCACCAGTTCGAGTTGCCACACCACATTAGCACAGAGATGCATTTGTCCATTCAAATCCCGTAGTGGTTGAGGTAGTAAGAGTATAAGCAGTAATCGGAAACATTAGGGTTTGGAGATGTTATTCAAAGAGTATAATCCAATGAAATAAATTTGGGAAGAGAAAAAAGAGACAAGGAGGAATCAAGAGATTAGAATTTGGAAGAACACAAAGAGTGGATGCACCTGCGCCATTGCAAACATATTAATCTTTACAGTCTGTTGGTACTTGTTCTTTCTGCGAAATCCTTTTGAAAAGGATGTGCAGCATCTTTAGGATTAATACTATGTCTGGCTTCAGTGCTTCAGCTAGTACTCTGCCTGGTCTTGTTGCCTTTCTACATTGGATGTGTCTGGTGGCCATGCTAATTTCTTCAGTTGATGATGGCGTAGAACCTTTAGGAAAGTCTGTATGTGCTCCTTTGATGTCCGATAGGCTCATTGTGGCTTATTTATCCAAAAGTTTTCCAAAGTGTTCTTTCGATCTATTCCTCTGTCCTTAAATTGATTGGTTTTCGCCTTCTTGACTGATCACGCTAGTTTACTATGTTTATTTGTTATCAACCTTATATATCATTTTTCATGTATTCTGTTCTTTTATCGATACAGATGAATAAAGAAACACCATCTATTATATAAATTACTACCCGAAAAATATGTTTGATGAGGATTTTTAGTACAAAATCAAAAGATGATTGAGGTATCGTGTGTATTGTGTGCATGAGAGTTACAATCATAAAAAGAGGTCCACTACAGATAATTAATATTCGAAAGATCTATGAAAGCTAATTGAGATGCTTCTATAGTAGAATTTTCTGTTTGCATTAAATATTCCAGGATTTAAAAAAGCTACTACATATTGTTAAAAAGTGGTCTCATATAACAGATATTGAAAACCAAACAACTAATTAGTAAAGATTATTCTAAATACAAATTTGCTCAGAGTAATTAATGTATACATTGTTCGGCATATAAAAATTCAACACTATACTTCATTTTGAATAGAAAGTTATCTCTAAAATTACTCCGTTTGTGTAAAATGCTTTATCATATAAGTATAGTTAGTTTATACGAAATTATTAAGTGCATATTATTTTCATGCCAAATTTTCCGTAAAATATACTTGTTTATTTGAATGTTGCATCATTCAACTAAAAGACTGATTGTGTTTTTCACTTATTATTACTCATGAAAAACACACATAAATCCAGCTTGCATATTATGATGAAAATAGTTTTTAAAAAAGGGGAACGAATATCCTAGTATCATTCAAACAAACAAAATCACATGCTAACACTCGAGGATTATTTTGTTACTGGAATCAATTGATGCATAAAACTAATCAGTCCTTTAAAATATGAATAACTCACCAACAATTTTGATTTGAAATGTAACATTTTGCAGTGATATATTCGTTTGAATTTTTTAGTGCTTTTGTTTGGTCAGTATGGTCAACAACACTATATTCAAAGGGATGTATATAACGTTATTGTCGCCTTTTAAATATATTATCTCTAAAAAACTAATATGTATCTGTTTCTATCTTATCACACTAATATCTTAGCTAAAATCTCTTCGACAACTTCGAATAGCGCCATTTCGAGGATCAGGCAGCATGGCTGACAATTATCGAACCATTCAAAAATTGAATAATCGATCAGTTCGAACAAACATTGATTTTAGAAAGAGTGTAAGTATGCTTGTTTGTTATATTAAATAATAATTAATCAATCCATGAGATAACTGTGGTTTCATACAAAATATTTTGATTAACTCTATTCGTTCAGTTTTATAAAGCCCAAATAACGAACATTTAAGATAATTGGTAACTGACATAAACTTGACAGATTCATATGCACTTCCAGTGAACTTTCATATGTCAATGGTCTTTTACATGTGTTTATTTTATAAGAATGAAGTGCTATGTGGATATATATAATAGGAATAACACGTTTCAGAAATCATCACAATCTAAATATTAAATGTAAAACACGAAAAAGTATTATGGTAAGGTTTTCTTTAGTTGACTTTCGTGCTAATACAAAACGACCTACAAAATATTACTTACATACGCCTGTTAACGCCAATAGAGCATAGGCCGTCGACCAGCATTCTCCAACCCACTCTGTCCTGGGCATTCCTTTCCAGTTCTGTCCACTTGTCGTTCATTTTTCTCATGTCTATCTCCATTACTCGGCATAATGTGTTTTTTGGTCTTCCTCTTTTCCTTTGGCCTTGAAGACTCCATGTGGGGGCTTGCCTTGTGACGTAGTTGGGTGCTTTCCTCAAAATGTGTCCTATCCACTTCCAGCACTTCTTCCTGATTTCTTCCTCCTCTGGCATCTGGTTTGTTCTCTCCCACAGTAGGTTGTTGCTGATAGTGTCTGGCCAACGGACCCGACGTCTTTTGCGTAGACTATTGTTAATAAACACCTATATCTTCTGTATGATGGATTTCGTAGTTCTCCAGGTTTCCGCCCCATGCAGTAAAACTGTTTTGACATTAGTGTTGAAAATTCTGACATTGTTGTTGGTTGACAGTTGTGTTGACTTCCAGATGTTCTTCAGTTGTAGATATGCTGCTCTTGCTTTACCGATCCGCGCCTTCACATCTGCATCAGATCCACCATGTTCATCAATGATGCTGCCCAGATATGTAAAGGTGTCAACTTACCTTAAATTAAAAAAACCTAAATTCTTTATGTTATTCATTTAGATCGCTGTAGTACAACCTAACTACACTCAAAATAAGTAACTAAAAAGGTTTACAGTCATTTGTAAACCATTTAAATTAAAAATAGCAGTGAGCGTGTTGTTAGCTTCAACAACAATATGTTGAAAAGTGTGTCAAAATTATTCTCTAATTATAGGGAATTTCGGTTTTACATGGAATATAAGTTTAAAATGAATTGTTTATTTCTTCATAGGGTAATATCTTGAAAGTTACTTTTATATAACGATTTACATAATTTATATTTTGGTTTATTTTAAAGCAACCCTACTGTTCATTACAAGCTCAGAGGACATATTTTGGTAAGATAATGTTTATAAGTTACATTGAATGATATATTTTTCCTATATACCTGATATAAATAACTACGAAAAACAATATTTTGATATTTATACAACGCGTTACTTATGTATTCATTAAACCAAAAACAAACAGTTTTTAAATTGACAGAAAACAAAATTCGTTTCACCATAAGAGGAGATATCCACAGTAAAAGTGAGTACCATATGTTTTTGAAAGTGATCAGCAACGTATTTCATATAGAACGTATACTTCAATTTTGTCACTCAGAGGATAGTTAAAGGACTCAATTCTCGAAGGGAAATAAGAAAGAGTATTATTAATATACAGGTAGAGGTCAAATTCACTATCAGTATACTTGGTTCGTTTTGGTTATATTATAAGTTTTCTGAGAACAAAAGAGTATATATATATATATATCGAATTATATCTCTTATAATATTTATTTTATAAAATACAATCTTCTCTAAAATACAATTAAATGAAAATTATTATTTCATTTCTCTTTTGTTTTACATGCATTCATACATCATCCTGAAACTGTTATAATTTGATTTGGATCTCGGTGATGATAATGATTATTTAATGGTCAGTAGCAGCTTCATTGCCATAATCATTTAACATTCCAAACCTTTTCTTAATTATTCTTATTTTTGCATATATATAAAGAATTGATATTCATTTGATCATTTTTTTTATAGGTATTCAAATGACCTGTTAATAACATGTCTTTATAGACTAAGCTTATTTTAATATGTAAAGAATTATACAGTTATCGGACAGCTTTTTTATTTATAAGGTTTTTTTTAAAATCTACCTCATCATCAGGTATTTGGAATGATATAAAAAAGTATTTTGATGTAGTGAAAGATGTACTAAACAGTTATATTTAGTTGTTTTCTTTGTTTAATGCATTTAACCATCAGTGATTTCACGATAATCAAGTTCTTTTGAATATTTCTGTGAATAATTATATAAATATCTTCTTTATATACAACTGTATATTTTTGCATGTATATATTTATTATTGTACATTAGAGAAAAAATATCTTTGCTTAATATTACTTACAATCATTGTCTTTTGATGTTTTTCAATTAGTTATGTTCACATGTAATCAAGAGGAGAAAATAAATATTTCGGAATGCTTACGACAGTTTGTACTGAATAATGTTCCATAATTAAAATTAACAAAGACTGGTAAATAGAGATTTTTGTGAAATAAATAAGAAAATTCACGGCGGTTACGTATTTGCTTATTTTCTTGATGAAGGTAACATCATGTTATAAGTTCACTGCTCTATTAAACTGAGACTGTGCATGACACTCAACGATATTTTGAAAAGCAAATAAAGCAAATCAGCGGAAATCTATAAAAAAAACAGTCCAAATGATCATTATAGTATACTTAAAGTATTTTAGTATATTTACTTGATGACGCGTAGCCAAGTTGACATTTTACTAAACGAGGAAATGCGTCAATGGAAAATCTAGAAGTTAGAGTATTGCTTCATGAGTTGACTTTTCAATGAAACCCAAGAGTCAACTATTTACAAGGAGAGTCTATTCGTAAAAAAAATAAAATTGTAAACACCGCGCGCTATTTAAAAATGATAGTGATATTTTCCCTCGCCGAGTAAATTTGATTATTTTGATCGTTTATCACGTATCAAGATTACTGTTTACACTTTGGTTGAATTTATTTCAATTAAAGTATCCGCTAAAAGAATCGTTTTTGTTTCCGAAGTAGTTTATCGTCGATACCTTGGAGTACTTTATTTCTATTGTATTTGTTAGCACTTTTGGTTCTATCAATTTACAGTTTTCCACCTTTTTTGTCATAAATAACTTTTGTCCTTGGGTGTTATTATATCTAGTTCCTTTATGAAAACCTCTGATGGCTGTACAGCGTAAGAAAAGCAATTACTAACACTCGGGTTGTTGATACCCTGTTGAAAGCGGCATGCAGCGCGATGTTTCCAGGACTCTAACGCCTGCGGCTTTCAAACTGTTTAGTAATAATGGTTGAGTGCGGTTCTGTCAGCAGTGCACATCGGACGCAAACAGCTTGCTAGCTGTGACCATTTCAATGGGAAATATTGCTTAAAAGTGTATTAGCATACTAGGTCGGGACTTATCGGACAGTACTCGCTCTGTCGGCACACAAATAGCTTGCTCACATCGATCAAAGGAGAAAAGACCGATTTCAAAGACGTCTGTCCTATATAAAAACTCAAGAAAGGAAGTTTTCTCTATCCCTCGTCCTCTAAATGGTAGTCGGCAGGAAACGCCTTGAAATCTCAATCACAAAGCTAGATTTGTCTCCAGCAGGAAAGACAACCTGACTGTCCATGTCGTTGATAACCTTTAGGAATTTCACAGTGTATTTGACGCGACAGTGGTTGATACTCCAACGAAAGTTGATGAATGGGTACGGGTCGAGAACAAGAAATGACATAACGCTGTTAAATAAAATCCAACCCTCCAAAAAGTAGCAGAGAAATTAAGGACTGATCGCAGTGACGGGTCAATTATCTTTCGCAGAATCAAGGATAGTGAAAGCTCAGATCCTAAAACTCGTTCTGAGCATGACATTAGGTTGATAAAACAGCTACTAAATCAGCTTATGTTTCAGGATATCTCCGAGTCACTTTGCTAAAGGAGTATAGACTAGGTAGCCAAACGAACTTGAAACAAAATCAAACCAGTCTGCTTAAAGTAGTGTTTCAATATCCTACGAAAACGTCTTTAATATTAAAGAATGTACATAAACTAAAGGGTTCAGGAGTTCTTGTCTTTAAAGGCTTTCACTTAAAGACAGTGTAAAAAGGCGAGAAACCGAAAAGAAGAACCAAAACTTAGGTTAGGTACTTGCAAAAAGACCCCCAAAACTTGCAAAATATTAGGTTGTGAGGCTCCGATAGAAAATGATGCCGAAGCCACTATGGGTGTAGCACATGTTTTATCTATCCGTAACACAGGGTCGACTGGAAGAACGCCACATTAAGTCCTGTTTTCAAAAGAGGTACGTGAGAACTAGCACCCGTTAGCCTAACCAGCGTGGTTGTTAAAATTTTAGAAAAGATTATTCGGAAGGAGCTGTTTATGTATCTCACTGAAGACCGTATCCTTTTGAAAAATCAGCATAGTTTTGAACTAGGTTATTCCTGTCTCACTTACTTATTAGTGGCTCGCGAAAGTGATGGGCTCTTAAAGATCAAAAGCAATCTGTAGACGTAGCCTACATTGACTTCAACAAAGCTATTGACAAAGTTCCTGTTGTCCAGACACACAATAACTCAGGATTCATCTTTATCTAAGACATTAAAACTACTGGACACTGCCGTACAATAGCCACCTAAGATTCTAGAACCATATGGTCAATACGTAAGGCCTTTGGTCATCTCGACGCTAAAACGTTTTTTGACTTTGTATACATTGTTCGTATGTCCTAAAGTTGAGTACTGCATACAAGCGGCTCGCCTCTGTTTAAAGAAAGATAGTGATTTTTTGTAAAGAGTTCAGAGAACACCAACTAAGTTGATTCCCAGAATAGGGAAGCTCCCGTATGATGCTCGACTGACTAAACTAAATCTATACCCGCTGTTACATGGAAGAACCATATGTGACCTGAAAACAATTTTCAAATTACTTAGTGATAAATTTGCACCTGCTATGCCCCCAATTTAGACTTCCAAAACAGAGAATTTACGATGACACTCTAAAAAGATTCACAAGTGCAGAACAAATTACATGTCAGCTGACTATCGACTTCCCCATCGAATCATCAACGAATTGAAGCTCCATCTGTCGACTCTTTCAAAAGAAAGTTGGATCAACTGAGATACTATCACTACCAAAACTTACAGATGCCAACAAGTATCCTGTCCTTTGCGAACTGATACTGAAACTAATAATCCAACGTTTCTGTTTCCTTAGAATTTATGGGCTTAACAAATAGTATTATAAATGATTAACTGTGACGCTAATCACTATCAAACCTGAAAGATCATATCTTCCTAACAGATTAGTTCAGGAATTTTGATGAGTTTATTTCTATCGCTATCATGAAAACAAATAGTCTCTTGACCCATCACACGCAATACTGTTTTGTTAAGAATTGCTAAGAAACATGAAAATGTCCATAAATATTTGATGATTTTCTTACATGGTACCACACTTCTTTCAATCGGAAAAAAAGAACATCTGAATTCTTGAAGAATAATTCCATATTATTAACCTGCTCTTGAATCTTTAAATGCAGTAGCACACCGAAAATCTTATTTTACGTTTCATTTATATTTTGAAGCATCAGTATACGTAAATATAGTCCGCATCAGTAAGTAGATAATACAGAGTTGAAGGCAATACTGATTGATAACTGAAACAGTTTTTCATCAATGCAATTAGAAAATTTACAAAAAGAAATAAATGGTTTAGGCTTAGATAGTAATTTTTATTTTCAAATAAACTCGCATAGCTTTTCGTCCCATTATAAGTCGATCATTTGTACTAAGTTCTTAATGTTCACTTATTACTTAATTACTTAATTAATTGATATACTCTTCATCTGCCATGGTTATGAGACATATGCAACTTACTTAATATTTTATAGCTACCATCAAACGTAGTTTTACTATTCCTAATAATATTTTAAAAACGATTGAAAACCTGTCTATTACTTAATAACTAAGTTACAAGAATTTGTCATACGTTTATACTGAATCGAATTATTGCTATGACAACCGTTGTGATTACTTCAGAAGTGCCTTTAGACTTACTAATAGTTTATTCATATTGTTTTCACATTCACGTAAAAACTATTCGGACAACGCTCTTGTAGTTACTTGTATCCTGTTATTCAGTTCTTTTT